TCACTCTGAGCCTTTATATACCCTCTGTGTCCATGTATTGTTTGTAATGGCTTGATAAAGCTCCTGGAGAGCGAAACGTTGCCAATAAATGTCACATTAGTTGCACTTGTGTCCTTTTACTTTACAACCCTAATAATAGTAGAAGATAAACTTTCTGCTTCATCTATTTACACAGTAAGAGCATTGTGAACTCCTTTTAGAGGGGCAATTTTCAGTCGAATGCCCACTGAATCTGAATGAAGAAATCCGGTGCAGCACACAACCCTGCTGTCAAACCAAACGATTACTATTTTCGAGTTTTCTCATTTATCGTCTGATAGCACTCGTTAGAATAAAAAAAAAAGATTAAGGACCCTCGTTCAGTTAGTGACCACCCACCGCCCATCCCTCCGACAAAAAATAAATTTTTTTTTTACGAAATGAACGTACTTCCAAATATTTCGTTAAAAATATAATTATATTAACAAACTGGAACTTGTTTCAAAAGGTTGTTTTTTTATCTGTGAGTAATATTTTTCTTATCAACTTTAAGAAAAATAATCTGACACAGCCTGCAAAAATAGACAATGTATCTCAGTTTAGAGACACACTTATTATTATTATTATTAAAGATTAGCCGGTATTCTCCCGGCCCGGGCCTTTTCCAAGTGGTGGCCCGGCCTTGGCTCCCTCTTTAGGGAGTGTCTGAGACTTAAGTCTCCCATGGGAGGAGGCACAAGTACCTCCTCATCTTTGGGACCAACTGTCCCCAGGCCTAGTCACAAGCTAGGCCTCTCTGGTCTGCCATCCCCGCCCCAAGGGGGCAAATGGGAATGACAGTCTTATGAGTTATTAAAGGCTCCGGCTCAGGCACCTACCCTACCCTAGAAGGGTTAGGCATGGTGTCGATTCGAGAGACACACTGAAAGTTTGCTTGCTCTGTTATTTTAGTGTTTAAAGTAAATTTGCCGTAGTGATTAATTATGTAAACCTCGAGGTTTAATTACCGTAGTGCAGTCGATAGACCTTAATCAAGATTTGATTTGTAAACTGATTTTTATTTTATTGTAAAAAGTAATTAAAGCTGAAATATCTCTTAAAATGGCTGATATTGATCCATGCATGTCCTTGCATAACGGTAATGCATTTTGTAAATGAAGATATTGATTAATGTTAAGAAGCAAAAGTAAATATATAACTATTTATCAATAATCACATCTTTAAATATCCAACCACAAAAATGTAATAAACATTGGTCAGTGGCACAAAGTATTTCGTGTGAAGACCAAACAGATGTTACTGCAAATTTCGGCCTCACTGCTGAAGAGCTTTTCAGTGTAACACGGAAATATAGGAACATAAAGAAGGAACACCGCAACAAGCCTACTGGCCTATGCGAGGCAGGTCCAATTCTCCTACCGGCTTAAGCCAATGCCCTGACATAGTGAGGTAAGACACGTCACTTAAGGGAGGAGCACTGCATCCGACCTATTAGCACAAGCTAGTCATTTCCAACTCACTCCCACCCATGTATTTTTCAAACCTACATTTAAAACTACACAACAGCTTAGCGTCTATGATGGTACTCGGGAGTTTGTTCCACTCATCCACAACTCTATTACCAAACCAAAGCTTTCCTATATCCTTCCTGAATCTGAATTTTTCCAATTTATAGCCACTGCGGCGTGTCCTGTCTATGTTAGATATTTTTAGCACGCTATGTACGTCCCCTTTATTAATTCCTGTTTTCCATTTATACACCTCAATCATAATCCCCCCCTGATTTTACGCTTTTCTAGAGAGTGCAGATTCAGGGCCCTCAGTTTATCCTCATAGGGAAGATTTCTGATACATGGGATCAACTTTGTCATCCTCCTTTGTACGTTTTCCAGTGCATTTATATCCAAAAACTGTGACCAAAACTGTGCAGCATAATCTAAATGAGGCCTAACCAAAGATATATAGAGCTGAAGAACAACCTAAGGATTTCTATTATTTATACTTCCTGCTATGAAGCCAAGGATTCTGTTAGCTTTATTGTGAACACTAATGCACTGTTGTCTTGGTTTTAGATTACTGCTAACCAGAACTCCTAAATCCTTTTCGCAATCCGTAATATTAAGATCTCCATTATTTAGTTTATATGTGGCAAGGTTATTTTCCTGTCCAATATTTAGAACTTTGCATCTGTCTATATTAAACTGCATCTGTCACTTCTCCGATCACTGCATCAGTCTATTCAAATCATCCTGGAGTGTTCTAATGTCCTCATTAGAATGAATTAGACGGCCTATTTTGGTGTCATCAGCAAATTTGCTTATGTCGCTATTTATTCCCTCATCTATGTCGTATATGTAGATTGTGAACAAGGGGCCCAACACTAACCCCTGTGGAACACCGCTTGTGACGTGCCCCCATTCTGATTTTTCCCCATTTATGCAAACGCTCTGCTGCCTATTTGTCTATTCGTCAACCATGCCTCAACCCAGGAAAAAAAATCTCCTCCTATTCCGTGTGCCTTAAGTTTCCTCAATAGCCTCTGATGTGGGACTCTATCGAAATCCTTACTAAAGTCCATATACACAATATCATATTCATTACCATGATCTACTTCCTCAAATACCTTAGTGAAGAAAGTTAGTAAATTCGTAAGACAGGAACGTCCCTTTGTAAAACCGTGCTGAGATTCATTAATCAATTTATTCCTGTCGAGATGGTTACGAATTGTTTCGGCAATTATTGATTCCATAAATTATCCCACTATGGAGGTAAGGCTTATTGGTCGATAGTCCAAGCTAATGATCTGTCACCTGCCTTGTAAATAGGTATTACATTTGCCATTTTCCATTTATCAGGCACTATGCTAGTTTCTAGTGATATGTTGAAAAGATTAGCCAAAGGTATGATAAATTCCTCTTTACATTCGTTTAACACCCTTGCAGACAGTTCATCAGGGCCTGGGGATTTGTTAGGTTTTAATTTCTCTATTTGTCTGAGAACCATATCACCGGTTACCGCAATTTGCATAGTTTATTATCGTCCTGTTCTACATAATGTATTATTTCTGGAATTTCGCTAGTAACGAAGTAAGTACTGAAAATTTCACACATATCCTTATCACCTTCAGTGATCTGACCTGAGTTACTCTTAAATGGGCCTATCTTGTCCCTAATCTTATTTCTGTATACCTGAAAGAACCCTTTTGGGTTAATCTTTGAATCCCTTGAGACCTTAGCCTCATAATCCCTTTTTGCTTTCCTTATTCCTTTTTTTTATTTCTCTCTTTAACTGTATACTGATTTCTTAACTGCCCCTCCCCTCTTTTGACATGCCTATATGTCCCTCTCTTTTGACCAATGAGATGTTTTAATCTATAGTCCATCCATTTGGGAGTATTTTTGTTAGATCTAATTTCCGTACTCGGAACTAAAGTTGTCTGGGCAGCTAGAACTATGCTCTGAAAAACGCCATATTGGCAACCAAGACCACCTACCTGACCCATAGTCAGGACATCCCAATTTAGCCCACCCAGGTAATTTTTCAGTCTCATGAAATCGGCCAAGCGAAAGCCTGGGACAGAGATTTGATTGCAGTTATCTGGGTAATTCCATGATATATTGAAACTAAGTGATTTGTGATCGCTTTCCCCAAACTCATCATTAACGTCAAGATTATTAATTAGTGATTCTTTGTTGGCAAGAACCAAGTCAAGTAGACTGTTTCCTCTAGTTGGTTCTGTCACAAACTGTTTTAAAAAGCAATCCTGAACCGTATCAAGAGTCACTAGACTCAAGATTTCCTGTCACATTGTTCCAATCAATTTGTCTAAAGTTAAAATCTCTCATTAATACAACATTTTCATATCTAGATACCTTATGAATTTCGTCCCATAACAGCTTTCTGCACCCCCTATCAAGGTTTGGAGGCCTATAAATCACTTCAAAAATTAATTTGTCACGACCCTCGAGAAACTGTAGCCATCTATCTTATTTCTTAGACTCCTACTATTTGTACAGTAAACCTTCAGGGAGCTAGTCACTCGTTGCCCTCTACTATCTTTGCCTTTACTAGCAACTTTATTTTGAATATTGTCTTTTAAACATATCCCTGAGGTATCCCGGTAATATCTGCTGTTTTTAACCCTAATACTGCAGCCTGGTTGTTTCCCACAAACACCTATACCTCTATAATCTATCAGTTTAAAGTCATAGACAAGTCATCAATTACCCCCTCAATCGAATTGGCTAATGCAGTCACTCCAGCCCCAGAGAGATGAACCCGATCCCTTGCATACATATCACGTTTGCCATAGAATTTGTCCCAGTTATCAATGAATGGGACTGCAAGTTCCTTGCAGTACCTGTCTAGCCAGCAATTTATACCAATTGCCCTAGACATCTATTCACTGCCCACTCCCTTTCTAGGCAAGATGCTACATATGATTGGGATTCCTCCCTTAGACCTGACTACTTCTATGGCTGACCTGTACTTATCCAGTAGCTCCTGTCTCCTGCCCTTCCCAATGTCATTACCCCCAGCAGTAAGGCAGATAACCGGCTTGTTCCCATTACCCGACATTATATTATACAACCTGCTGACTATGTCACTAACACCAGCTCCTGGGAGGCACACCCTCTGTCAGGCCTTTCTATCTTACCTGAGAATCTCCTACAATTAGAATATTCTTACCTTGATTAGCGGGGGAGTCAGTGATGCCTTCAACCTCACTAACCACTGAAGTACACTTGTCCTGGAAAACAGAGAATCGATTTCCTACCTTCACATCTTCTCTATTAACCCTCCTCATCTTCCTTCTTCCTGAGCTGTAAAATATGTTTTACATTATTTTGAGTACATGGCGGTACCGATAATAAATTACTAATCCTGAAGTTACCTGTCGAAAATAGCAAATAAATATCCCATTCGTTGACAGCAACACCTGCCCATACTACTGTGGCTCACTTATCCTTCCTTATAAAAGCCTTTAATCCTACCCTTAGCTTTGATTCGCTATACTGGTCTCTGCAGTTCAACAAGAAGACCTGAAAGAGCTGTAGCAGTCACTACAAGAAAATTCAGAGCTGACTAAGTGATTCAGTGTCAGTGTCAGTGTCAACATGTGGAGACATCTACAAGTGTTGATGTTACTGTCCGTGGTGGTCTTTGCTGCTGCCCTGAACACAACACCGCCAGGTACGAATATATTCCTTATTTTTATCATGTTTTCCTTGTTACTGCGATTGCTTCTTTTTACTTTGCTTTTATATCTTATTCTTGTTCTAGTTTCCTTTCTATCCATTTAAGGACGTTTAACTGCTTTCTCTATCGGGAATATATGCTGTTTTGTTCCACTCGTAAAATTTTTGGAAAATGTCGTATTGGCAAACCAAACCACTAGACCAGCTAGCTAGTGGCTAACGCGACGGGCTGGAGTTTTGAGACTCTATGACCGCGGGTTCAATCCCGGCCGGGGGTATGGTTTATTTGCAATCGTGTCATTACGATTTCTTGAGTCGTATTGGCAAGTTTCTTCGTTACCGTTTGTGATGCAGTCTTATTATGTTGGCCCAGTCAACACTTATCAGATGCTCCGTAAGCCCATTGTAGTGTAATGAACTAAAATCTGAAATCCCTAACCTAAATTCATTATCCTTATGATCATAATTCCGTGATCTCAAACTTATTTATTTGGACCTTGTTTATTATAACCAAGTCAAGCACATTATTCTTTCTCAAATTGCTTTTTTAGTCCTAGGAAATCCTAAGACTCTAGATTTGCAATTAATGAATTAAGGTGAATTTACCCGAAATTAAAATTCCCTGATGACTACAACTTTGACTCTTTAGGCTTCAACAATTTCCTTCCAAAACGTTACTCTTTGTTGCTGTGCTAGTTTCACCCCTCAAGGGAGGTTCCTTGACGATGATGAGGGGCTCTTGATCTAGGAAACTGGATCTGTCCTCCAGTTCCTTGAATTAAGCCTGAATACCTTCCCCCTACGGGTTTAGCGCTCCCCCATGATTATAATAATGTGCGGGTTTCAAGAGTAGGTACTCCACACTTGGGTCAGCTGTTCATGTCCTTCAAGAAATTGCAGCCAACATAATTATGGGTCTGTTCTTTTGGTATTGATACCTTCATAAACATATTTCTTTTCCAACTTGAAGCCCCACTCCACCTCCATTCTTTTTGTTTCTGTCAATATGGAATAATTAGGCACTCGGCAGGCATTCAACGACACTATATAATAATCATGTCTCGGTTACTGAATATCTGTTTTCAGCGCTTCTATTGTAACAGACGCCGAGGAAGTTTTCTTTATTTTCACACTATTATAGGTGTTGTTATTGCCTACCAGAGTTTCTATATTCCTGATTTTCCCCCAGTTAACTCCTATAATTTAGTATAAACCTCCGAACAGTCAAGTTATTCGCCATCTCTGTTAAACCAGCTAAAGCTTTGAGTCTCAATCGTTGTTTATCCTCGAAACTGTAGACTGACAATCCACTAGCATTACTCGTGACCAGTGGCCCTTCACAGCTACAAGTGACACCTCAGTGCAAGTCACCTAGTAGTGTAGCAGGTGGTGAAGTAGTCATGCAACTATTTTTTCACAAGGTAAGAAGGATATAATCCTTCAACTATTACCAGTCAAATATGTAACCTATTTTTCTATCTACCAGTTGTAATTATCAGTGAAATACGCAAATTATGTACTGCTGCCTTGTCTCATTTCCTACTTATGAACAACTATTATCACACCACTTCTTTCCAAAACTTAAACTGATCCAATTTGAGTACATTGTTATGAGTTCTACGTGGTTACATATTTTAGGCATATAATTTATTTGCCTTTTATTTATGGTAATACAACGTTCGTGCCTTTCAGTCACATCTTGCTATGTCCACGCCTTTCAAGAGTGCAGACTCCGAGCTATCATTCTATATTTGTAGGAGATATTCCTGTTTTTCATAATTTCTAACTCAATGATACACATTCTATAATAATGAAATAAGAAAAGAGCCACGTAATCTAAACGAGGCCTTACAAACAATTTGTAGTTCTAGCATATTATTGGAAATGCTGTTATTTATACTTCTTGGCTTTACGGTTCTTCCAGCCAGAACTCCCAGCACTTTTACGTATCTAGTGTGATTGAGTCCTACATCATCTAGTTCAAAGGTGCCGTGGATAACTGTTTTCCCAGCATTAGGATCTGATATTTTTCTACATTTACGATATAATTCCGAAGCTCCCTAGTGTACACGTTTATCTGATGTCAGCGACTTTGCTTATGGCGCTGTTTATTCCCTCGCCAAAATCGCTAAAACAGATTGTGAACCAGGGATCCAACAATGACCCTTGTTTTATTCCAAAAAGTTAAAAACCAAATGTTGTTACTTCAAGATCATTATTAAATAAAATAAAATGAAAAAAGCTAAAAAATGCAATTTTTAGTTCCCTTTTCCTTAGTTCAAAAGCATATTTATGAATGCATTCATATCATTACTCAGTATTAGGACGCACGGTTCTAGAAAATAAAATGTCGCAATAAAAAGGTTTCTGATATGTCAGCGAACTAACCCTAGTAGATGACGGTGGTAATAACTTTTTATATGAAAATTATTATTTATTATCATCTGGAAACGATACGCCAGTAGGAAGGTCAAACTGTTACTGGCCTGAATCTGAAATATGTTAAAATAAAGAAGTCTGGGCTGAGCGTGAGTGTTGACTCTCCACTCCGAGATGTCGGCACATGGGAAGTTAAATTAACCATAGAACGTCCAGTTCTTTGTTCAACTTGATCTTTAAATGTTAACAGTGGAATATTTAATTATAACTTCCAGGATGTGTTGAGTCTTGCGGGCCTAAATTACCATGTGATAATGACTTCGTTTCAGAAGTATGAGGTGCAGGTGTCATACCCGGAGAGCAGTGCCAGGCACATTGTGCCTGGCACTGATGTACTCGGGTGTAAGTGGCCAGACTTGGAGTAATTGTAATTATAACAGAAGATCATTGTAATTAATTAAAAAAAATAAGGAATTATAATTGTAAGTGAACTTCTAGATTAAAAAGTAATTGTAACTGATTATTGCAAAGCTCACATCTGCTTAAATTACATTATAAAACTGAGGTACCTATGATAGGTTAATGGCAAAACGAAAATGCATTTGAAATGGTACATAACTGTACATTCCGATGTGATTCTGGCTGTTTGGATAAGTTTATTCAGGTACAGGTACCCATAAATATAGCTACATAAATTATCATACATAGCATATGTGTAGATAACATAGGATAACCCAAAAAATCAAAGTGACTTATTTCCATTGGGGTCCTTGGGGTCACGTTTTGAAAATGTATATATAAGAAGATTGTGGTCTACTCGACATAGATCCCTTGACCTATTGAAGGGATTCTCCTCCAGAGATACTCCCTCTGAAGAAACGAGCAAGAGAGATGACGGGCTGCACAGCCACGTCAACACCGTCTGGGAGAGTATTTAGCATGACCAGGAATTATTTTTGCTCTCAGCAGCCTTTCGCGAACTTCTGTTAAGCGCAACCCAGAAATTTACGAGTACCGTCCATGCTTGAATCTTAAAGAGCTTTTTACATGTGAAAATGAGTGTAACTTGTGTAAGCTGTTGTGCACCATTAAGGTCAAAATTATTTTCATTATCTTACACATTGTGAGATAACACATTTGTAAATTTCTGCAACAGTTCATTATAACAATTCTTCTAATTTTGTTCAGCTTCTAGTTGCAGTTTCCTTGTTTGAACTGTAGTAAATGAAAGAAGGAAATATTATGGTACCCTGGCAAAAGCTCTCGCTTCACACGGCGAGGGCCCGGGTTCGATTCCCGGCGAAGGGGTGGAAACATCGGACGTGTTTCCTTACACCGGTTGTCTATGTTCACTCATCAGTAAAATGGGTACCTGGGTGTTAGCTGACTGGTGTGGCTCGCATCCTGGGACAAAACTGACCTAACTTGCCCGAAATGCTCAGCATAACAAGCGGCTTTCTATATAGTAGTATGTCATTGATGTCAGCTAGGACTGTATACCTTGTCCACGTACTTGTAGTAAATAAAGATATATTATTATTATTATTATTATTATTATTATTATTATTATTATTATTATTATTATTATTATTATTATTATTATTATTATTAAAAATTATGTCTTAGATTTAACACTGAATTACATTATGTGAAATAAGCCTATTTATTTATTGGTAATCTTTTGGAACTTTGATTTAGTGTAACTAGCATTATGCACATGTTCTCCATCTGTTTGGCTCTGACTGAAAATTTAACTAATGGTATTAGGTTAGGTTAGGTAAGGTTCGTCAAGAAACAGGACAAATGTTTCCTGACGCGGGTCTTAGTCAGATGATGACCCGCCTTTGGAGCTTTTGGTCATCTGACCGAGGCCTTCCGCTGGCTTACCGGTCTTAATGTGCACTGCTCAAGTACTTACATTTAAATGAAAAATATGAAATAAACTGTTTGCTTAATATTTCCAACATTTAACAATCAGTAAAATTTGAACTGAAGAAAATAATTTAATATAAAATATCATATAATTGTAAATGAAAATCAGTGAGAGTAATTGAAATTGTAATTGGTTTTGAATCATATAATTACTCCAAGTCTACAGGCAGCTGTGGCACCTTGCTCCTGCTGCTACGTCGCCAGTAATTTTACAATGTCAGATATATCATCATAAAGTGCATGAAAGTAATACTGATACAGCAGTTTGCTTAATTTGATAATTAACTTACTTTTTTTTTTACACCCATTAGAAACGTGAAGTAATACTGATACAGCAGTTTGCTTAATTTGATAATTAATTTACTACTTTTTTTTTTTTACACCCATTAGAAACGTGTTCGAATTTTGCGAATCTTGGCAGTGTATAGATGATCATTTAACAAGCATTCATCATTCCACCCTTCAAGGAAGGTTCCTTGATGTTGGTGAGGGGCTCTTGATTTAGGGAATTGGATCTGTGCTCCAGTTCCCCGAATTAAGCCTGAATGCCTTCCACATCCCCCCCCCCAGGCGCTGTATAATCCTCCGGGTTTAGCGCTTCCCCCTTGATTATAATAATAATAATAATAATAATTCATCATTCCAGCCAAACAAAAGGACAATATGTGTACATCTATTACCTATTGACAATGTTTTATTGTAAAACCAAAAGAAAATAAATTAATATAAAGCTTAATACATTAGAATCCACGAGTCTGAACATTGTTTTTTTAGTATGCAGAAATAACACATCGTGTTTAAAAACTGGAGGACAGTGCCAAACCAGCTGTCTACCACCAAAGCGTGTGATTCCCAACACTTGTAGAAAAAGTTGCAAGTGTTGTGCCGACGCATGCAATACTACATTGTGTACTGCCGCCAAAGGTTACTGTATTCCTAACAACGAACTCTGTATTGATGGCAAGATAAAGCTCAACCTCTGTCAAGGCTACAACTGCGGTTACTGTTGCATCCCAAATCGTAAGTTTCTCAAATTCCCATGTAAATTTTAACTTTTATTTAGTGATGCTTATAACACTTACATAAAGCACTAAGCCCATGTGTCATTCAGCGAAGGCAAGGGTGTAGGCTTAATCCTCATCAAAAGAGGGTAAATTATATCATATTTTGGTGAGTTTTGCTTTCTGTTTATAACCAGTGTTGTGGTGTTCTCTTGGAGAATGACTGACTCTTTCATACAGTCCATATGGTGATGTGTGTGTATAGTTGTGTGTGGTAATGTGTGTGAGTGTGTGTGTGTGTGTAGTGTGTGTGTGGTGATGATGTGTGTAAGTTGGTGTGTGCTTGTCTGTGTGGATGTGTATGTGTATGTTTTCGTGTGTGTACTGTGTGTGTGTGTGTGTGTATCGTGTAAATGTGTATTTGGATGTGTATGTGCGTGTGTGTGAATGTCGTGTGTGTGCATGTGTGTGTTGTGTGTTGTGTGTGTGTGTGTGTGTGTGTGTGTGATATACTCACATCGTTGAGGTTCGGGGGTCGAGTCGAGCCTGGCCCACCTCTTCACTGATCGCTACAGTCACTCTCCGAGCCGTGAGTTATCATACCTCTTGCTTAAAGCTATGCATGGATCCTGCCTACTACATCGTTCCAACTATTCACTTTGACACTTGTGGTGAAATACTTCCTAAATCCCGGTTATCTGTGTCATTACTACCAACTGTGTCCTTTTTATGTGTCCAACTCTGGAAATCCTGTCTTGTCCACTTTTCAATCCCTCAGTATTTTATGTCGTTTCATCCCCCCTATCTACTCTGTCCCCCAGTGTCTCAGGTTGAAATTTCCTTAACCTCTCCTCGTAAATACTTTAGCTTGGATGCTTGTTGCAAACCTTTGCACTTTCTAGTTCTTTAAGTGCTGGCTAGGTGTGGTCACTGGTCCGCATACTCCATATGGGCTAAGTATACGGTGTACAGGTCCTGAACGATTCCTTATTAAGATGTCGGAATGCTGTTCTGAGTTTGCTAGGGCCCATATGTGCTGCGTTTTTTTGGTTGATGTGCGCTTCAGATTGCTGGATGTTATACTCACCCCAAGATCTTTTCCTTGAGTGAGGTTTGTAGTCTCTGACCTACTGTACTCCGTTGCGGCCTTCTTTGCCTTGTCCCCAACGTCATGACTTTGCATTGGTGGATTGAACTCCAGGAGCCATTGCTGGTCAGGTCTGCAGCTGTTTCCAGACCATTTGTATTCTGCCTGTCTTCGATCGAGTGTATTCTTCTCATCAACTTCAGTATCTGCAATCAGGGAACCCAGAGTTATCCTTCCGTCATTCGTTCACAAATACCAGAAACGCATGGTCCTAGGACGACCATGCGGGACCCCGCTGTCACAGGTGCCCACTCTGACAAACTCGCCACGTACCATGATGCTGCTGTCTTCCTGACAAGATTTCCCTGAAACCATGTAGTGCCTTCCTTATACTGTTGGATGGTGTGTGTTGTGTGTGTGCGAATGTGTAGTGTGTGTGTGTGTGTGTGTGTGTGTGCGTGTGTGTATGTGTGTGTGTGTGTGTGTGTGTGTGTGTGTGTGTGTGTGTGTGTGTGTGTGTGTGTGTTGTGTACGTGTGCGCACGTCAGCTGAACAAGTTGAAATATTATTTAGTGGTAGCTACTGCAAGAGAAAGACGAAATACAACGAGGATGGCATTAGTGGGTAAGAGGAATTCGAAAAGGCATAATGTGCATTTACGAATGCAATATTATAATGTGCAGCACAGATTTACGGCTATACAAGAAGTAGGTGTGGACTGAAACTGAGGTATAAATGGGTGGTTAGGAAGATAAAATTAGATATATAAAATTTGTACAGTGTGAGAATGGTAGACGGAAGATAGATTATATGCATAGATGTTAAAGAATGGGTGAGGGAGTAGAAAAGGAGAGCAAATGAAAGATTAGGCGAGTTTTTATCGTTAATTTGTGAAAAAGAAAAATATGGAGAGAGAAATTAATGTGCTAAGAATGCCGGGATCAAATAAAGTTAATAAATAAGAATGAAAGAGGTGAGATGTTACATGGGGACGTCGGCAGTATATTAAAGAAGGAGGGAATGTTTTGACGAACCGGTAAATACTGATAATTTAAGAGAGGCGGTGAATTTACAGAGTAGGAAATAGCCAGATGCAATGAATCTTATTATTTATCATCTGGGTCGAATTTCTCAGCACACTGGTCAGGCAATTTATGAATTCATTATAAACAACTTTATATATTTAATGTCCAAACTATATAATATTTACACGAAACTTTCCTAAAGTGTGTTTCCATATATTTTAGCCAATTAAAATACAACAGTAACATGCAATAATACAGATCATATATATATATATATATATATATATATATATATATATATATATATATATATATATATATATATATATATAATATATATTATATATATATAATCACAGTCTGTGTATTATCTCACAGCATGTCCAACTCCCAAGTCGTGCAAAAAGTACCAGGGAGGTTACTGCAACACAAGCTGCAATGCGAATGAACGTCCAATTCCTGGATATTGTACTGCTAACTGTACATGTTGCGCAAAAACATGCAAGCCATCGAATCAGTGCACTAGAGCCAATGGTAACTGTACTTATCCCAGTGACTGTGCTGGGATCACAAAACTGGGACTTTGCAAAGGCTTCGGATGCGTCTGTTGCCTCCATGGCAGTAAGTGGATTCATTTAATAAATAATACTGATTTGTGCCCTCAGACATTAGCAATTACGCAGTAGAAATATGAAATATTAGTGTCTATAAGAAAGCTGTGTATTTTAAAGTAAAATTTTAATAGCATAAATTGAGGAGTAATCTTGTTTAATATATATTATCTATATCCAGCAACGACAACGAAGACATCAGTGAAAACAACGTCAACGACGAAAACAACGAAAACAGCAACAATACCAACAACAACAGCAACACCATCAACAGCAACAGCAACGACAACAGCAACACCAACAACAGCAACGACAACAGCAACACCAACAACAGCAACGACAACAGCAACGACACCGCCAACAACAATCTCAGCAGCAACAACAACAGCAGCATCAGCAGCAACAACAACAGCAGCATCAGCAGCAACAACAACAGCAGCAACAACAACAGCAGCAACAACAACAGTAGCAACAACAGCAGCAACAACAACAGGAACAAGATCAACATAAAAAAAACACGAGCAGGATAAGTAAACACCACATTCCAGCTTCTAACAACAACTAAAAGACTCAGGAAATAGTAATGATTGCAACCAACACACCGAGTTTGATGAATCCTGTTAAGCCGGAAGGGACCAGTGGTTAATATAAAACCCACGTCAAGAAACACTTGTCCTGTTTCATGATAAACCTTACCTAACCTAAGTGGTTAACACTGCGGCCTACGCGTCGTAGGACATTAACTTGCTGTAAACACGAAAGTAAACACTAATGATAACTTAAGAAAATAATTCATCAAATGATATATAAGTAAATTTTGCCTAGCTAGGTTTACAGCCTATTTAATGCACTAATATTATCAAAGCTTTGGTTTACCTAAAAACAATTATATAGCTAAAATAAGAATTAAAACATACTAGCAGCGTATAGGCACAGAAATGCTAACATCTTAGTGTGCATACCCTTGTTATTCGTTGTCTTGGCATAATGTCAAAGGAAATTTGTCCTGAAGTATACATGATTTCACGATCGGAATTTTAGATTATATAACAGAGGCATTTCGCAGACTTACTGGTCCACACGTAAAAATTAAAGATCACATCGTAAAAGTTGATGACAGGTTTTCCATATCACAAAACATACTGGATCACCACACAACAGTATCCAAGTATGTCTAAAGGTGTAAGACCTTCTCTAATTAGATTTTCAGTCTGCTAGCCTTACGTCTGAAGATGCTTCTACAAATGCATGTTTCATGAATTATTGTTTTCGGATATTTGACGACGTATGAACTGATTAAGTTTATTAACTGAACGTGGACCTTTTCATGTCGACCCTGGCCTGGATATCTTCAACTGTTATACATCACTGGAGTACAACAAACAAAACCTCACCGATTTGTTCTGGTAATGTACGAGAATCCTACACTGAAAAAAAAATCATCCATGGAAATTATACACGGACAAATTGGCTTTTGGTAATGAATTATATAAAGACATCACGATTTAGTAACTTGTTTATTTCGTAACTAGAGCACAAATAAATAATAAATACCTGCATGAGTATGCAGTTTAATTAAATTTAATGCAATTTAATAGAATTTAAAGAGTTTTCACTTTGATTTTATATACATGTACTCTTTTTTCAACTTGGTTTTTACTAATTATTGGAGTTTATGCCGTATTTCCTTAATATGAGACATCAAAACAATGAAACAACTTTTAAAACAGGCGAAAGGAAAAACAAAAGGGATAAAAATTTACCATATAAAAGGTTCTCGGTTCATACTGCTTGGGGATTACTGATTATACTTAGTAACTCAGGACATAAATTTTACATTACTGATTCTTGGTTTAGATGTACAAGTTTTACATGTATAAGTAGACGTCACCAGTGTGCCGTTCACAATCTGTTTATAATAAATTACATATGACTTACATGATATATGCAATATATTATGCATAATCAAGACAAGACTTATTCTTTTGATTTACAGCAGCAATATTTACATAACTAAGTTACTACATTTTAAAGTTTGTTGGTTTTGTAAACAATTATCAAACTAAATTAGAATGATTAAATGCATATTACTAACTTGTTTGTTTGAATGGTCCCATAAGCTTGCAATAAACATAATAGACTTAATTATATATATATTATTTATATATTTATATTATATAATATATATATATATATTATATATATATATATATATATATTAAAATTTTACATATAAATAAAATATATATATATATATATATATATATATTATATATATATATATATATATATATATATATATATATATTATATATATATATATATATATAAATATATATATATATAAATATATATATATATTATATATATATATATATATATATATATATATAATATATTATATATATATATATATATTATATATTATATTATATATTATTTTTTTTTATCACACTGGCCGTTCCCACCAAGGCAGGGTGGCCCGAAAAAAAAAATTTTCACCATCATTCACTCCATCACTGTCTTGCCAGAAGGGTTGCTTTACACTACAGTTTTTAAACTGCAACATTAACACCCTCCTTCAGAGTGCAGGCACTGTACTTCCCATCTCCAGGACTCAAGTCCGGCCTGCCGGTTTCCCTGAACCCCTTCATAAATGTTACTTTGCTCACACTCCAACAGCACGTAAGTATTAAAAACCATTTGTCTCCATTCACTCCTATCAAACACGCTCACGCATGCCTGCTGGAAGTCCAAGCCCCTCGCACACAAAACCTCCTTTACCCCTTCCCTCCAACCTTTCCTAGGCCGACCCCTACCCCGCCTTCCTTCCACTACAGACTGATACACTCTTGAAGTTATTCTCTTTCGCTCCATTCTCTCCACATGTCGAACCACCTCAACAACCCTTCCTCAGCCCTCTGGACAACAGTTTTGGTAATCCCGCACCTCCTCCCAACTTCCAAACTACGAATTCTCTGCATTATATTCACACCACACATTGCTCTCAGACATGACATCTCCACTGCCTCCAGCCTTCTCCTCGCTGCAACATTCATCACCCACGCTTCACACCCATATAAAAAGCGTTGGTAAAACTATACTCTCATACATTCCCCTCTTTGCCTCCAAGGACAAAGTTCTTTGTCTCCACAGACTCCTAAGTGCACCACTCACCCTTTCCCCTCATCAATTTTTATGATTCACTCATCTTTCATAGACCCATCCGCTGACACGTCCACTCCCAAATATCTGAATACATTCACCTCTTCCATACTCTCTCCCTCCAATCTGATATCCAATCTTTCATCACCTAATCTTTTTGTTATCCTCATAACCTTACTCTTTCCTGTATTCACTTTCATATATTTTATTATATATTATATATATATATATATATATATATATATATATATATATATATATATATATATATATATATAAATATATATATATATAAATATATATATATATATATATATATATATGATATATTATATATATATATATATATATATATATATATATATATATATATATATATATATTGAAAAACTGTAAGCGTGATTATGAATCTCATACGAGGATGCACGAAGCAGGTATTTCCCCTATTCGAGATATGGATATACAGTAATCTTCGTTTACTGATATGTATTATGTATTTCCAGGATCAAGATCAACAACGCCAGTAAAAACGAAAAACAACACCTGTTAAAACAAAGTCAGTAAAAACACCAACACAAGCAAAAGCAACGCTAATAAAAACAATAACGCCATTGAAAAAATTAACACCACAGCCGGTAAAAAAAACAATAGAACCAACAACAACACTGAAAACAACGACAATAAAACCAACAAGAGCAACAGTGAGAGCAACAATAAAACCAAAAAGAACAACAGTGAAAACAACGACGATAAAACCAACAAGAACAACAGTGAAAACAACAAAAAAACCAACAAGAACAACAGTGAAAACAACGACAATAAAACCAACAAGAACAGTGAAAACAACTACAATAAAACCAGCAAGATCAACAGTAAAAACAACGACAATAAAACCAACAAAAGCAACAGTGAAAACATCAACACTAAAATCAACAAGAAAAACAGTGAAAACAACGACACTAAAACCAACAAGAACAGTGAAAACAACGACACTAAAACCAACAACATTAACAGTGAAAACAACGACAATAAAACCAAGAAGAACAACACTGAAAACAACCACAACAAAACCAACAAGAACAACAGTGAAAACGACAATAAAACCAACGAGAACAACAGTGAAAACAACGACAATAAAACCAACGAGAACAGCAGTGAAAACAACGACAATAAAACCAACATAAAACAACAGTGAAAACATCAACACTAAAACCAACAAGAACAACAGTGAAAACAACGACACTAAAACCAACAAGAACAGTGAAAACAACGACATTTAAACCAACAACAATAACAGTGAAAACTACGACAACAAAACCAACAACAACGCCAGCACAAACAACAACGCCAGAACAAACAACAACGACAGTAGCAACAACAACAACTCCAGCACAAACATCAACGCCAGTACAAACATCAACGACAGTAGCAACAACAACAACGCCAGTACAAACATCAACGACAGTAGCAACAACAACAACGCCAGTACAAACATCAACGACAGTACAAACATCAACGACAGTAGCAACAACAAGCAACAACTCCCAGACAACAACATCAACGACAGTACAAACATCAACGACAGTAGCAACAAAACAACGCCAGTACAAACAACAACGCCAGTACAAAACAACAACGCAGTAGCAAACATCAACAACAAACCCAGTACAAACAACAACGACAGTAGCAACAACAACAACTCCAGCACAAACATCAACGACAGTACAAACATCAACGACAGTAGCAACAATAACAACGCCAGTACAAACATCAACGCCACTACAAACATCAACGACAGTAGCAACAACAACAACGCCAGTACAAACAACAACGCCAGTACAAACATCAACGACAGTAGCAACAACAACAACGCCAGTACAAACAACAACGCCAGTACAAACATCAACGACAGTAGCAACAACAGCAACTCCAGTACAAACAACAACGCCAATACAAACAGCATCAACGACAGTAACAGCAGCAACAATAACGCCAGTACAAACATCAACGACAGTAGCAACAACAACAACGCCAGTACAAACAACAACGCCAGTACAAACAACAACGACAGTACAAACAACAACGACAGTAGCAACAACAGCAACTCCAGTACAAACAACAACGCCAATACAAACAGCATCAACGACAGTAACAGCAGCAACAATAACGCCAGTACAAACATCAACGACAGTAGCAACAACAACGCCAGTACAAACAACAACGCCAGTACAAACATCAACGACAGTACAAACATCAACGACAGTAACAACATCAACAACGCCAGTACAAACAACAACGCCAGTACAAACAACAACGACAGTAGCAACAACAGCAACTCCAGTACAAACAACAACAACGCCAATACAAACAGCATCAACGGCAGTAACAGCAGCAACAACAACGCCAGTACAATCAGTATCAACGACATTAACAGCAGCAACAATACCAGTGCAAACAACATCAACGACAGTAGCAACAACATAATATCAGTACAAACAACATCAACGACAGTAGCATCAACAACAACGTCAATACAATCAGAATCAACGACAGTAACAACAGCAACAACGCCAGTACAAACATCAACAACAGTAGCAACAACACCAATGTCAGTACAATCAGAATCAACGACAGTAACAACAGCAACAACGCCAGTACAAACATCAACGCCAGTACAAACAACAACAACATCAGTGCATCAGCATCAACGACAGTAACAACAGCAGGCTCATCAAATACTCCATCACTTCTGTGTTGTCCATCAGCACCACGAGCAACTACGCCAGTAAAATAACTCCACCAATAAAAGCAACAAGGGCAATACCTACATGGACCTGAGCTAAATGTTCATCATCGGTGTGTTGTTTATCTGCTTAATGTTATTTGAGATGCATGAGATTAATATTATGTATAACCATGATTTGATTTAGTTTCTTTAGAGTTTTATGTGAAGTTCTTAAATTTAAATATTAAAGTTACTACACTTAAAGTCTGCTGGTTTAGTAAGCAATTGAATAAACTCAATTAGAATTATTAAATGCATATTACTGACTTAGTCATTTTAATGGTCCCACATAATATACAATAAATACTACACACACACACACACACACACACACACACACACACACACACACACACACACACACACACACACACACACACATACACATACACAAATACACACACGCACACACACATACGTCAAGAAATTAGAGAAAGTGCAAAGGTTTGCAACAAGACTAGTCCCAGAGCTACGGGGATTGTCCTACGAAGAAAGGTTGAGGGAAATCGGCCTGATGACACTGGAGGCCAGGAGGGTCAGGGGAGACATGATAACGACATATAAAATACTGCGCGGAATAGATGAGGTGGACAAAGACGGGAAGTTCCAGAGATGGGACACAGACACAAGAGGTCACAATTGGAAGTTGAAAACTCAGATGAATCAAAGGGATGTTAGGAAGTATTTCTTCAGTCATAGAGTAGTCAAGCCGTGGAATAGCCTAGAAAGTGAAGTAGTGGAGGCGGGAACCATACATAGTTTTAAGGCGAGGTATGATAGAGCTCATGGAGCAGGGAGAGAGAGGACCTAGTAGCAATCAGCGAAGAGGCGGGGCCAGGAGCTATGACTCGACCCTTGCAACCACAAATAGGTGAGTACACACACACATGCACACCTGCACACCTACACACCTACACACCTACACACCTACACACCCACAACAGGCCTAGTGTCTAATCGACATGTGCCTAGCTATCAAAACTTTGGAGTCCAGTCCCTGGACCAATTATGTACCTCTGTAATCTTTTGACTACCGCCCACAGGATGGGTATGGGGTGCATAATAA